ATTCAGGGGTCGAGGACCCCTTTTCTGAAATGCTAACAAGGTGGTTTGGGAAATGGAAGGGTCTAATTACCTCCATTATGTTGTCAATGGCCGTTTTCCTTGCCATTCTTGTCCTTTGTGGGTGTTGTTGCATCCCATGCATCAGAGCTCTATGTGTTAAGTGCATAGACAAAGCATTAAATGACAAAGCTCCACCCTCTTCTTACCAGTTAAACGTGGTAGAAGTGGAGGGTGTGTCACTAGCTTCTCTCCCACAGCTCTACCACCAACGAGATCCTGCAGGAAAGCGAATATGAAGACCTCCATCCTGCCCACCGACTCATTCCCCCTCCCCCTCCCCCTACTCCCCAGTAAATACATTGCTTGCTAAGGTTAATACATTCTCCATATATGCTTACACACACGTAGCAGGCATTATACTTACAGGTTAAGGATTTTATTGTGCTCATTGCTCGAGTTATTGTCAATTGAGTTAGTAATGGTCTTAAGCTCCTGAGAGAGACAATCTCTACTCTCAGTAAATGTTCAGTATCACTTGACAGGTTGGTTTAGCTTGTGCTATAATTAATGTTTATCAGTTTTTTACACATAATGTTTATCATTTCCACAGGCTATGAGCAAGGAAAAACGCTTGCAGGAGCTGATTTAATGTAACGAAGAGCAGCTTACACCTCAAGGAGACTCCAAAAGGGGGACTTCGGTCCTCCCCTGGTTGGATGACTTGTCCGTCCCTGGTGATCAGGACAGTTTAGGGCCCTGTCTTGTGCCTATTTGGGTGTGGATCAGTTTTCCAATACAGAAACGCAATTCCTCACCATGTTTGATCGACATGATTAAATCATGTCGAAGGGGGGATTGTTAGGATTGGATTTCAGGAGTTAAAGTTATTTTTCTACTTATCATCAGTATTATTTTGCTTTTATAATGGAAAAGTTCAGTATGACTATTTGTCTGTGTTTCATTAACAGCTCCATGTATCAGTATTAACCAGCTCTTATGCATGCATCATAGTCATAATATTCATCTTTGAGTCAACTAGTAGTATTTCTTGTCTTCTTGGTGAAATGTGCATAAATTGATTGCAGAGATAAGTGTCATCCTGGAAATTATAGATAAGATGCTAACTACATGTCTACTTTCAGACATGCCTCACCTGCCTCCCCTGACCGCACGTCACTGCTTGTGACTGCTCATGACTGGCCTCCACCCCACCATGATTCAGCCTTGGATTCTACTTCTCTTTTCTCAGAAAACTAAATAATCTTAATACTTAATAAAGATACAAGAAACTCACATCTGATTGAAATACCAAAATCCCATTATTGCTTTTAACTAAACAATCAGAATTACACTCTGATTACGCAAAACTATCAATGCCTTAAAATCAAAACATAGATCTTTATATTTTGAATACAATACTTGACCAAACATTGATTATCATTGATTAGACATTGATTAAACAGTAATTATCAATCAAATCTTTACTTTATGCATGAAACCATCAATTTCTACTTTCCTTAATACTCTGTCTCCTTTCTCTGCCTATCATACACACCCAACTGCACGTCCTCTTTGGTATGGATGTGTGTCTTACTTCCCTTTTCTCTGTGATTCAGCATTTTCACTCTCTATGATTTAGATTCTGAATACACTTTAGACTTCTAAGTGTACCTTTCTCAATACAATCCTTTCTCATTTTATTCTTACACATTCACTAATGATTATTTCAAACAAAACACACACATAAATCATCTTATGATTATCCTTACTTACTAAATATCTTAACTTTCTACTTTATGTATTTTGCCATGGCATTTTAATAATTTTCTCTCTCTCCCAGCTCCTCTTGCTGTTGCCTGTAAACATTCTTGCTGTTCTTGTGTGAATTCTAACTGAAAAGAGACAATTTATTCAATAGTCTCCTGCAGTCCTTCTTGTAAGGTTATTTCTGATGCCAGATCATCAGAGGCCAGTTCTGCTGTTATGGCCTGTGTTTCTTGTGCTTTTTGGTTCTCTCCGGGACCCGTTTTTACAGGCTTGCTGACAACCCCCAGGAACTTGGTACTGCTCACTCTCTCCACTACAGCACCATCGATGGTCAGTAGTGGATGCTTTAGAGGTTTTCTCCTGAAGTCTACAATGATCTCTTTAGTCTTCCCCACATTGAAGAGGTTGTTGTCCTTACACCACTGTTCCAGCTGGCACACCTCACTCCTGTAGTTATCCTCATCATTGTTGGTAAGGAGGCCAACTACAGGAGTGTCATCCGCAAACTTGACAATGTGGTTGGTGCTGTAGGTTGGCACACAGTCATGGGTCAGCAGTGTGAAGAGCAATGGGCTGAGCACACACCCCTGTGGAGCCCCTGTGCTCAGCATGATGGTCTTGGAGGTGTTGCTGCCGACCCACACATTTTGTGCTTAGAAAGTGCAGCACCCAGTTGCAGAGAGAGGTTTTGAGTCCCAAGTGTTCAAGTTTTTGTGTAAGCTGCTGCTGGGGAAAGATTGTGTTGAATGGTGAACTGAAGTCTAGGAACAGCATTCGCATGTAAGAATTCTTTGAATTTAGGTGGTTGAGGGCTGGATGAAGAACAGCAGTAATGGCATCCTCTATGGACCTGTTTGACCTGTATGCAAACTGAAGTGGGTACAGAAAGCAGAACATTCTTGGGTTGGTTCTGCCTGGAGACCTTTGGTCCATGTGATCCTCCTCAGTCTGTCTCCACGTTTCCTGTCATTAAAGGCTACAAATAGGCCTAACTAAAAGTAACAAGAAAAAAGGGTAAAATGCTCATTACTACTAGGAGTTGTACTACAAGCCTGCAATATAAAAAGCCTACTTAAAATAAAGGAAAGAACCACAGATACAATTTTAACTTGTGGGTAATCTCTCTTATGTCTAAAAGACAAACGGGCTGTGTTAATGACAAGATGTGTAGACTTCCAGCAGATGTAGGGTTAAATGGAACACTGTTCATTTGTCGCTCACAAATGGCCTCAGGAAAACCTGCATGAGTTGGGAGAGAATCACAGTATTCAGCAGTACTGTCATTAATGTACAGTAATGATTCATATTGGAGATGGTGTTGGCTCTCACAGGGTGGAATGCAGGAGGGTGCAGCCACAGGTCAAAGTCCAAGAGTGCATTAGAACAACCCAGCAGGTAGTTAACAACCAGGTGAATGTTTGTTGGCCACAGCCAAACCCTCCCCTACATGTTCAGTGACACAGCCATCACGTGAGGTTCAGTCTAGGGAATCTGAACAGTGCAAACACACTTAACCAAAACTGCTTTCATAATCGCTGCAGCATGTACTGACGTGACCTCTGAATCCCAATGGAACACCAATGGAATATGAAGATTGTTATTAAAATCATAGTTACTGTTTTGCTCTGTACAGGTAGGTGTGGATAATGTTTGGGTGTCTTTTGTATAATTTGCTGTTTTATTTTTTTGCTAACTTGTCTTGACTCACATGCACCCTTGTCAATTCCATCTGTGTTTCCAGGTTCTTCAGCCAACACTCCAAGAAAGCTCACGGTGCTGGTGGGCAGAGACATGACTCTCAGCTGCCTGTTCGACAAGCTGTCTAAGCCTGTGGAGTGGAGCACTCTTACCATCGAGTGGAACATGTTGAATAAAGATGCAGAGAAGAACATTGTGTACACTTTTGAGGATGGGAGAGCACATGTAAACAGAGGTGGCTCTGTGGTGGATAAGATGGGGCTGCTTCAAAAGAATGCATCTCTGCAGCTACGTAATGTGACTGTAGGAGATGAAGGGCTGTACACCTGCAGGATCATCACGCCTGTGGTCCACACAGAGAGCACCTCCCTGGAAGTGCTGGGTATTCCCCTTTCTGTTTCTCCTCCAGACTGTGTCACATGCTCTGGATTTGGAAACTAACTCAATTTATACTTTTCTGCCAGGAAATTTATCTAAAAAAGTTCTCCTGGATTTTTACACCAAAATTATCCTCTTCTGCTGGTTCTTGTTTAGGTGTTTTTTTTCCTTAATTAAAATACTCTGCACGCAATACTAACAAATTTTGTGAAAAACTCTTATTTGCTTTTTTGATAAGAGAACACTATCACTCAAGACTATATGTTAATATGACTATATTCGTATTTGCATAGTGATGCAAGTAGTTCAATTACTTTTATGTGTAGTTAACAACTAAAACTACAAACAGGTTTAGGCCATAAAAATAAAGGAATGATTTTAAGTTTTTATTTTACCATTGTGTAACCACTGTTAAGAGATGGCTCATGGGTTGTATGAATAAGAGATTTCGCTCTGACAAGTAAAAAAAAAAAATAGGCCCATTGTTTAGGCCAGTGTTTAAGCTGTTCATACTGCCTAAAAAGGAACTAGCCAAGACTGTTTTAGTTAGGGCTGCAAGTTGAATATTTTTTATTTACTGTTTTGGTTGTATTCAGATAATACAACATGGAGATTTGCTTACAACAAAAATAGAACATTCATTTAAATATTGTCCTGTTTTGCTTAGGTCTCAGGTATTATACTCAACTGAGTGGCATGTGACTTTTTGCATTATATTTTATAATACTGCGTCACATGTAAATTGTCAATTGTCAATTGCTAATGTTTTTTCCAAGTTTGAACTATTTTCTAAGTAGCTTTAGTTAACCAAACTAGACTTCTGCCTAGAATAGCTTTGCTGTAATTCAACTTCAGCTTCCAGTGTGAAGTAACTGGTAGCTTACAAAGCTATACTTATCAAGTAGCTTCCTCAACACTGATGTTAGCAAACCATTGCTTATTGAGACATCCTGCAGACACAAAGCAAGTTTAGCATTTATTTGGAGTTGTGCATCTGTGCACCTGATGAATACAAGTCCAATGGTTACTCTCATTTTAACTTTGTTATGATTTTCACCAACTCCTGAAACATCTGGAGCTATAGCTAATAGATGTTGCTATTCAACATTAGTGATATTTTGTTAATTAATCACTTTACACATCATCATGGAGTAACATCATATCAGAACACCTTTAAATGTATTGTGTTTGACCTGTTCGTCCAGCTCAGCCTTCAGTGTTGCTCCCAGACAAGGCAGCAGTGACAGAAGGGGAGGAGAAGACCATCCAGTGTGTCATCACAGGTTTCTACCCAAAGAAAGTGCTCGTGACATGGCACATCCAAAATGGCTCCAACACAGTCCAGGCAGGTGTAGGCCACCTTTCCCGTGTCTGCACCGAAATGGCTGATCACAATCCAGATGGCACCTACAGTACTCGCAGTGGCATCACACTGCACTCATCAGCAGTGATTGATGGGGAAATCCATGTCATCTGCCGGGTGGAGCACCAGACCTACAGCTGGCCATACAACAGATCGTTGACACTGACTGTTGTTCAAGGTGGGATTTCATTTTCTTTTTCCCTCATTCTTTGTATCCCTGAATTTAAGGCACTGTCCATACAGATTCATATATTTACTGTCTATGGTATACTGTATGTTATATATGCAGCTCCATCACGGCCCTTTTACACTGCTGCCACGCTTATAGCTGTCACCAGTGTCATCAGTTTGCTGCTGGTAACCTTTGTCATTGGAGGCACTCTGCTTCTCTACAGACATTTCTGCAAAGGTATAAATCAGTGTGAACTAAATACATGTTTTATTTAAACAGCATTTGCATAGTGTTTATGGTAAGCTACAGGCTAGTTTCTGTTAGCTGGACATAGTAAGATTGTTACTCAAGAAATAGCACCATGTCACTGTGAAGTTGCGTGGATTATATACAGCAATCTAACTTAAGCTTAATTAAGCTCCCATTTTCCTCATATTAAATATTAAATATAAGCCCACACTAAACCCTATAGAAGATGGTGCTTCAATACATCATTACTCCAGGACTTAGATTTGATTACCTTTATTGAAAAAGAGTGGCCATTCTTTCTGGAGATGAACAACTCTCCAGAAATCTCACGCTCACTACTATGGGAAACAGACAAAGCAGTAATTAGAGGAAAAATAATATCATACTCTTCACACAAGAAAAAGCAACAACTAGAACTGGAAAGCACCTTAGAACAAAAGGTAAAACAACTCACAGATTTACATTCCCAAAACCCTAGCGAACAAAAACAAAATGATCCACCCAGACCAAACAGGTTTCATCAAAAGCAAAAATTCTTCAGATAACATTCATAGATTATTCAGTTTGATTAATCTTGCATAACAAAAACAAACCAAAACCATAATCACTAGATGATCATTTGACAAAGTTAAATGGACATTTCTCTTCTGTACATTACACAGATTTGGGTTTGGGTTTGGAGAGTCATTCATCCATTGGATAAGAACACTGTATACATCACCTAGGGCAACAATAAGTACAAATGGGATCAGGTCACAAAGTTTCATTTTATAACAGGGTACCAGACAAGGATGGTACCCTGGTTCCCACTCTCACCATCTCTATTCGCCATTTTCATCGAGCCTCTAGTAGCAGCTATACAACAGAACAATATAATTAAAGGAATACAAGATACCATGACAGGCACCGGAGACCTTACGGCCACAGCTCCGAACGGCCGCATCGACAATGGAGGTGGAGAATATGGTCCACTCGGACTCAATATCTCCAGCCTCCCCTGGGATCTGGTCAAAGCTCTGCCGGAGGCGGGAGTTGAAGATCTCTCTGACAGGGGATTCTGCTAAACGTTCCCAAAAGACCCTCTCAATACGTTTGGGTCTGCCGAGTCTGTCCAGCTTCCTCCCCCGCCATCGGATCCAGCTCACCACCACGTGGTGATCAGTTGACAGCTCCGCCCCTCTCTTCACTCGAGTGTCCAAGACATACGGCTGGAGGTCAGATGAAACAACCACAAAGTCGATCATCGACCTCCGGCCTAGGGTGTCCTGGTGCCATGTGCACTGATGGACACCCTTATGCTTGAACATGGTGTTCGTTATGGAAAAACTGTGGCTAGCACAGAAGTCCAATAACAAAACACTACTCGGGTTCAGATCAGGGGGGCCGTTCCTCCCAATCACGCCCCTCCAGGTGTCACTGTCGCTGCCCACGTGGGCGTTGAACGTAAGAGATGCCGTCAAGCTGAAGAAGGAGTCCTTTCGAGCCTGGTTGGCTCATGGGACTCCTGAGCCAGCTGACGGGTACCGGCAGGCCAAGCGAGCTGCAGCCCAGGCAGTTGCGGAGGCAGAAACTCGGGTCTGGGAAGAGTTTGGTGAGGCCATGGAGAAGGACTATTGGTCGGCCTCGAAGAGATTCTGGCAAACCGTCCGGCATCTCAGGAGGGCGAAGCAGTGCCCTGCCAAAACTGTTTACAGTGGAGGTGGGCAGCTGTTGACCTCAACTGGGGACACTGTCAAACGGTGGAAGGAATACTTTGAGGATCTCCTCAATCTCGGCGCCATGTTTTCCGATAAGAAAGCAGAGGCTGAGGGCTCACAGGTGGACTCGTCCATCACCCAAGCTGAAGTCACTGGAGTTGTTAAGAAGCTTCTCGGTGGCAAGGCACCGGGGGTGGATGAGATCCGCCCTGAGTACCTTAAATCTCTGGATGTTGTGGGGCTGTCTTGGTTGACACACATCTGCAACATCGCATAGCGGTTGGGGACAGTGCCTCTGGACTGGCAGACCGGAGTGGTGGTCCCTCTTTCCAAGAAGGGGGACCGGAGGGTGTGTTCCAACTATAGGGGATCACACTCTTCAGCCTCCCCCGGAAAAGTCTATGACAGGGTACTGGAGAGGAGAATTTGACCGATAGTCGAACCTCGGATTCAGGAGGAACAATGCGGTTTTTGTCCTGGCCGTGGAACACTGGACCAGCTCTATACCCTCTTCAGGGTGGCGGAGGGTTCATGGGAGTTTGCCCAACCAGTCCACATGTGTTTCGTGGATCTGGAGAAGGCATTCGACCGTGTCCCTCGCAGCGCCCTGTGGGGGGGTGCTCTGGGAGTACGGGGTCCGGGGCCCTTTCCTAAGGGCTGTCTGGTCCCTGTACGACCGGAGCAGGAGCTTGGTTCGCATCGCCCGCAGTAAGTCAGACTTATTTCCAGTGCATGTTGGACTCCGGTAGGGCTGCCCTTTGTCACCGGTTCTGTTCATTATTTTTATGGACAGAATTTCTAGGTGCAGCCAGGGGCAGGAGGGAGTCCGGTTTGGGGACCACAGGGGAGCTGGAGGAAGTGTCTGGAGAGAGGGAAGTCTGGGCATCTTTGCTTAGACTGCTGCCCCCGCGACCCGGTCCCGGATAAGCGGAAGAAAATGGATGGATGGATGGATCTTTTTTTATGACCAGCAATGTAAACTTACAGCTTATAGAATACAAGACCATTTATAGGACCCATATTACAGAAAGTAAAATGTTTAAAATGGGTTTCACTGACACAGACATCTGCTCACAATGCACTCTAGATTGCATCGACAATTATTTTCATGCTACTTGGACCTGCCAACCAGTTCATTCCCTCTGGATAGCAGTGACAAGAAACTCTCCTCCATCTTGGGCTGTAGAATCCCTCTTTTTCCATCACTTTGCTCACTCGGTAATATCATAGAAATCGACCACCTACCAATTAAATTCAAAAACCCACTCCTCATTTCTCTAGCTATTGCCAAAAAAACCAGTCTTTCAAAACTGGAAATCAAAGAAATCACTACACATAAACCACTGGACCAACGCTCTGATAGAATACATCACATTAGAGAAAATGGCATCCACTCACAAGAATAGTTTATCATCTTTTTTTGATACATGGAACTCATTTCTAACACTTCAACTTGAACCAAACACCTGGGGCTGAGACAACACCCATTTCCACCAACCTCTAAAAATTTAACAAGCTGATTTTATTAGTAGTACTGTTACCATCATTATTATTGGTAATTTATCTATTTATTTATTTCCCTTCCTTTTCCTTTTCTTGCATTTCATAGACTGCATAAGCTGGAAATACCCACACTTCACACACTATGATCTTGTAAAACACTCTGTCATGTTTGTAAAGTCATGTATATTTTGTTAATGTGTTACTTTGTTTCAGTAAACATAATAAATAAATAAATAAAAACAAACAAACAAAAACCTGTTGAGCAGTAGAGTAGCCAGAAACCTTTAGCATGCTCTTGTACCCTCATGCCCGTGCAACATATACAAAACAAACAAAGACAGGATTTTATTCACAAAAACATTTCTCAATATTGCTACAAGTGTTTAAAAACTCCACAGGGATGAATAGGTTTGACAAGTATCACATAAGTGTATTGTACCACATACACTTCCAACTGGGCTTATAACAATAAGTAGAGCTTAGTGTGTAGAGTGGGAAAAACTTGAGCTCATTAAATGTGATGTGCCGTTAGAGCCTCAACTAGCCAGCAGTACATGCAGCAGTCAGCCAAGCTTCGCTTGCATGTTAGATGTAAGGAAAAACAACACTGTGTCTCTTAAAGTTGTTGTTGCTCCCATAAATTCCAGAACAGCCTCAGTGCTCCTTGACTCAGTCAGAATGAGGAGAAAATCCTTTACTGTTACTGTTTTTATTATGCTTTCCTACTTCTTTTACCAGCTCAACCAAGTGTTTCTGAAATCAGCAAAGCCAGCATCATATATGCTCAGGTGCCAACTGACCTTACGTGCACCATCCGAGGAGCAAGCCAGCGAGTGCTCAAAGTGAAATGGTTTAAACTAGACAGCAGTGCAGACTCAGTGGACCAGTCAGAGTCTCTGTTGGTCAGTGAGGATCTGAGTGAAAAGGCTTGTCTCCATTCAGACGGCAACCATCACACATCTGTACTGACTGTGTGTCTGACTGTGACTGAAGACCTGAACAAATACCAGTGTGTGGTGTTGTGCGGGTGCACAACTTTCATCAGAGAGACCAGAGTCAGGGTAAAAGGTGAGTAACTGTACCTCCCAGAGCACATTACAGCATATTCATGTCACAAGAGTCCAACTGTCCAACAGTTTGGTCTGGAGCCAGATATTTGGCAACTGCTGGCCAGATTACCAGTATTCATGGTGACCCTCTGATCTTGTTTGTAGTGCCACCACTGGGTCAGACCTTCCATTTGACTAACACTTTGCTCCATAGTGAAGTATAAAGAAAACTACTGGTCAGAATTATGTACTGTAATGGTTCTGATGTCTAGCATCTAGTTACTGTATATGGTTCTAATGTCTAGCATCCTGTTATATGGTTCTACATGTTATTGCCTGAAATAATGTGAGAGGGGGGCGCTGTGAGGTGTGTGGGAGGAGAGAGCGAGGAAGAGCAGGCAGTTGTTGGTGTTGTTGTGGAGTGTTGAATGTTGGGAGTTTCAAAAGAGCTCGTTAGCGTGTGCTGTGGCTGAAACAACAGCATGGAAGCCTGTTAAGTTATTACAAATAAAAGGACAATGATACCACAAGAACGTCTGGCTGCTTGTGTAGGAACAGAGAGTATTACACATTTGCTGACGCTATTCATGATCCTCAGAAGAAGAGGTTTTCTGGTGACTGCTTGAACTTTGTTCTGGTATCTCTATCAGCCCAAAACTAAACCCTTGTGATTTTAAGGATCTTTGGCCTTTCTTCTGGCAGAACCTTTAGGACAAACTTTACATTTTTGCTCCACATCTGGCAAAAATTAATCTCAGTGAATGTAATAATCACAAGTACTATATGTTTTTTGTGCATTTCAGCATGTACCAAGTATTGCAGGATTGTATTGAAAAACTGCATGCTCTGTCGCCTGCTTGGACTTCAAACGCTCTTGTTCATTTGTTCCTGACTATAGCATTAGTGATGCTATAGACACTGTATTATTTCACCTTAAGAATGTTTATTTTAGAGCTTTCCTGCCTTGTAAATGCACACATTATTTTTAATACCCTAGAATATTTTTCTAGCTCATTCAGCTCCCTACCATCTTGTATAATGTTACTCAACTTCCTCTTTAACCCTGCATTAAATTTAATTTTATTTTTTTATTTGGCCAGTTGGGGGCGGCACAACAAGCTGTCAACACAACACTGACATATTACAGCAAGGCACATCCACAAATAGACCCCAGATGGTGCATCAAAAAGGAGTTGTGCAAATATGTGACTCCTGCACTATTTATATGTATGCTCATACTGATTTTGATAAGTTGTAGCAGTAAATGATTATCCAGGTCCATTGCAAGCTCACATTTTAAAATTTAAAGTTTAGCCATTCATCTAATCTTATTGTAGTTACTTGATAATATTTTGCCTCAGATCTTATACAGGCTTACAATTTATGTGCTAATGCAAAGTTGTGCTGCTGCAGGTAACTTTTTCTTTTTGTATAAATAATTGTTCTTAGCTTAAGCACCTGCCCCCAATATGTATATGCATGGCTCCTGTTACAGTATTAAATGTCACCTTGATGGGCATGTGTTAGCAAACAGTGACATGCAAACACCACATTCAGCAGACAGAGCAACATTAGCATTAATTTATGTCATGTTCTTATATTTGCATCCATCTGATTAATACAAGTCCAATAGTCACTCTTTTTTTAGCTCTGTTTTTGGTCTCAACCAGCATCTAAGAAAAATATCTGGCTTTAGCCACTAACTGATCCAATGGCTAGTAAACCAGCTGCTAACTCTGTTAATGTTGGGCAGACAGCAGTGTGCAGTGGTGAAGGCGTGTTCAGTTCCTTTACATAAGTAAAAATATTAATTAAGCATCAATACTACAGTGTGAAGATACTTTATTACAAGCAAAAATAAAGCAAAGTAAATTATAGTACATTTCATTCCAAGTGAGATTCAGTTTGCTTGACATTAAAATCTAAACAAAACAACATGTACAGTATAGTGTACTATACAGCATGTGTGCAAAATACCCTCTGGATTGTAGATGACTAAGTCAATCTGTCTTGCTCTAATGAAATGCACAGAACAAGTGACAGTTTTCAGTCTGCTTTTAAACACAAGTACTGTCAAAGCACATCTTATACAATCTGGTGTTCCAGTAGCTGTAACCACAAAAAACAAAGTATTAAGTTAATGGAAGTCCTGCATTTTTGACTTAGTATTTAATCCTGCAAGTGTTCATTAAGTGAAAGAAAAACATGTATTATTAGGGAAGGCAATAAAATATCAACAGTAAAAAGTCTTCAGTATGTACAGTTTTTAGTATTTTAGCATATTATTGATGCTTTATGTTAGTGTGTCTTGGTAAGATGAACACTTACAAGGGTTTTCAATTTCCACAGTGTTAAAGCCTTAGAGTGAAAGGTGCAGTATTTCTCTCTGAAATATAGTAGAGCAGAGGAATAAAGTACCACAAAATGGAAAGTAAATACCTCAAATTATACAGAAGTACAGAAATTTCCACCAGTGACAGTGGGTTTATTTGAGGTTATTCACTGAGAGCAGCTGCCTGCTGTTGCTGGACACCATGCTGATCAAATTGTGATAATGAACCAAAAATGGGGCATGTTGTAAAAATAAAACAATGAAAGATGCTAAAGTGTTTTGTAGAGCTGAGGGGAAGTTAAGATTCAGGTGATCTATCACTACAGGTGACCTCTTACATGTAGTCATCTGATCCATTGTTGACATGAAAATATTGACCAGTACACTTTGAGAGGCTGGTCATAACTTTGAGTGTGTAGAGGACATTTAGATTGATGGTTCAGTTTTACTTAGTGTTGCAAAATATTCAACTTCTAGTCATCTACTCTGAGTGGAAACAAAGAAAAGATAGGCACCCTGTTTGGACATAAACAAGTAAATAAAGTCACAAGCAGTTCAAAATACAAAATATGTCATGCACGATATCAAAGCTAATGTATGTAGTGTATTTAGTGAACTCTTATGACACCACCATATAATCATATTTAGCTAATCCATTTTATTCCACAAAGGTGACACTAACTTTGCAGAGATTGCAGTTAATAGCAATAAGAGTGCAAGGCTCCTTAATATGAGCTTTCTCCTTACTTAACAAACTGTATGATTTGATGTGAACTTTCCTGCATATTTACTGTAACATCAATCAACAGTACACCAGGTCTATCTGGGAAGACTTTAACCTGAAATCATTTGATACTGATAGTTTCAGCAGATAGCTATTATTGTTGTTGTTGTTATCCCCATGTCAGTGGCTCTTATATTTATCACCATTGCTTTATCCTCTCACCACACATGCTCGCACACCTCCAGTGGAGCCATCTTTTCTCCAGATCTCTAGTATTCCTCAGATCCCTAAGGTGGAGAAGCTGCTCGTTCTCTGCTGTCGGGTGGAGAACTTCTTCCCAAAGCACATTGACCTGGAGTGGTCCAGGAATGATGGTGAGCAGGTCCGCTCCATCTCACACTTTGGGCCATTCTCTTGGCACAACCGTCTCTACAGTGTTTGGAGTAAGATCCAGCTGGTCATTGCCAGAGAGGACGAGAGGGCCATCTACACCTGTCGAGTTTACCACTCCAGCTTCCCTCCTCCAGGTTACAAAGATGTCCTGTATCACATCAACACTCAAGGTAGCAGCACCTGATTCGTTTCTGCAATAGCTTTAGATAATTGTTTTGAGTAAATCTGTATTAAACAAATTTATTTTGTCTTCTCAATAACATGAACTTTATGAAAACAACTTTGAGACAAACACCAGTACAGCAGTGGTAGTGTTACTCCAGGCAGTAAACACTTTCCCACTCAGTATTTTGAAATGATTTGATTTCTTTGAATGTTTTTTTCCGGATTATTTTAAACAACAACAACAACAAAAAGCCTTAGTCATTTTCTAGGCCAAGGGAGAGGTAATGTTTTTGTTTTGCTGGCGTAAAGGTAAGGAATGGACTTTGAAGAAATCCTTAGAGAGGTAATATGACTCATGAAACAATCCATAAGATTTTGGTGGTGATTCAGTTCATTATCAGGATCCAGGAATCTTTTAAAGGATTCTTCGCCATGGCAAATTTCAATATTTTTGCTTCTTACTCAATACACAATGCCTACAATGCTTGGGCAAAACTTGCATAGTAGCATTTCAATAAGATATACTATATGTCAGGGCCGGTCGGCGGCTGCTGCCTCTCCTCCGTCTCTCTCTCCTCTGCTCTCTCTATCATGTGGGCTCTGCACCTCAGCTGTGTTGCATTCCAGTAATTAGCAACTGGTT